ACTTTACGTTCGACGTAGTAACGAATACATCTCTATTATACTAACGTTTTTAGTTTTTACGTTACGTAANACTCTCTCGTCTACGTTGTTATATGTCACCTCCTCCTCTCTCTCTCTCTCTCTCTCTCTCTCTCTCTCTCTTCTGCTTCTCAACTTCACGTGGTGATCAAACTTTCACCCCTTCGAATCCCGCATCGGCCTATAATCAGTTCTTCTCTCCTTCTCTCTCTTCTCTGGATTTATCAAAGTTTAAATCTTTTTCTCTCTCTACGTGGTGATATACCTCTGCGAACAGGTGTTACAGAAATGAAGGCATCACAGCCACGTAGAAATCTTTCATCTCCGGAGTCCGCCCCTTCCATTGACGTTTCCTTCTCTTTGGGTTGGTACCCATTAACGTCAAAACTCAAACCATTATTCCCCATCCAAAGCTTCATTGCCTTTCAGGGTTTCATCCATGGCGCTCTCACCGCCTTTCCCTCTCTACCCATCTCCACTATCTTCCCCCTCCAAATGTTTCCCTCACACATTCAGCATTCAAGACGACCCACTTGTCCAATTTCTCGCACATATTTGGTACACACCTTCTCAGACAGAAACCATGGTGTTCTCTCTCTTTCCTTGGAAACAGCGAGCTCTACCAAAAGTCAGAGGAATACAAGCTCCAATGGAAAGATGAGCTTGAGTGGGGAAATTGTTCTGCTTTCACTTCTGAAAATATCGGTGATGTTGGGTATTTTCAGGATCTCATTGATTGCAGAGTGATCGACAATATTCGAATGCTCATTGTGGATTCAGTTCAAAATGCAAAGGCAGGGCACCCTGGAATGGCTCTTGGGATGGCTGAAGTGGGTTATATTCTTTATAGGCATGTAATGAATTATAACCCAAAAAACCCAAATTGGTTCAATCGGGACCGGTTTGTTCTGAGTGCTGGCCATGGCTGCTTCCTTCAATACCTTGCCTTCATCTTGTTGGGTTTCAGTCAGTTCAGGTCAGTGAATGTGTTGTGGATTGTTTCAATCAGGCTTTAACTGCTGTTTTCTTCATTATTTACCCTGTGAATGTAAATTCATGAAGAATTTGGAGTAATTTCTATTTCATTGTTCCATTGAACTGAGAAATTTTAGGAATCGATATGATTTGATTCCTTCTGGCTTTCTAGACCCATCTGGATGGAGAATGATTCTTCTTTTGATAATCAGTTTGGTTAGTGATCTTAGTCCATGATACATATAACTCCTATGTTTCTATCTAGGTAACAAAATCTATGAAGAACAGAAGGGGAAATAATATGGTGGCATGAGGTTTCTGAAGAGAACTGGTCAGATAAAGGAGGATAATGACAAGTTATTTGGACCGCCGTTATTCAAGGTATTTTTTTTTATCTGATTGATCTGTAACATTTTTAAAATTTTAAAATTTATAACTGAGGATAAAAAGAAATTTTTAAGCCATCATAAAATTTTTGACACAGAAACAACATCTGTAAGTAAATTTTATAGGTGGGCCTTATACAAACCTCACCCCTACTTAATACAAACCTTTTTCTTTATGGAATATGCTTAAAATGGGTTCTTGAGAAATGAAATTCTTGTAATGACTATCTAGCTGATAGATGTATTGGTTGATTGTTATAGTCAATGTTTAGAACAATTCGTAGGCCAAGGTACTTAGCCCTTGGTGGTGGTGAGCAACTCGGCCAAGTTTGAGTAACTCGACTGTCACACACACCCCAAAAAACACAAAAGAAAAAAAAAATGCAAAATAAAAAGGTTAAAGTTTAAAAAATCCATACAAAAACAAAAAAGTTAAATGGATTAATAGAAATCATTAGGAGACTAATAAGATGAAAAAGCTATAAAATATGGATTATTGAAAAATTGGATTTATACCTTGAATATTCAGAAAATTTTAAAAAAGGTAAAAATATGAAATTTCCGAATTTCCAAATGTTGCTTAAATATATCTAACCAATATACTCAGTGTTCTCTAATTTTTTAATATTTTTTTGCTTTGTTTTCATATTTTTATGAATTATTTGGGCCTGGCAAGTTTGGCACCTAACTTTCCAAAAACTTGCTTGTGGGAGGCCGAGTTACTCGTTGAGCCCTGTAACACTGGTTATAGTTAAGAACCATAAACAACAAATATCCATCACCAGTCCAAAGCTTGTATGTTGTCAATCATGATCTCTTTCCAGAATTTCATATGAAAGTTCTCATATTTCTAGTTCTACTAATAGATTAGAAAGCTTCAAACTATAATGTTGTGCTCTATCTCCTAATATTTCTGACAGTATTCATTTTGGTGGCCCCCTTTTTCTCCATTGATTGGGGACCAATTGGGTAAAATAGATTCATTCCAAATTGCAAGGGGGGCAACTTCCCTTGTAGACATACATATATTTAGTGATAAGCTGGAAAAGTTAGACCTGGTGCAGTAGTTTTTCTGTCATGCGTTTGTGATCCTCTCTAAAACATTTCCTGAGCATAATGTCCTTACTTCATAATATCTGCTACAATCTCCTTCATAAATGTTTGAACCTTTATCAAAGTATGATGTTGGTTCTTAAAATTTAGGGAAAATTACAAATAGCCCCCAAGAATAGACTTCCTATGCAACTTACCCCCAACCAAACTTCTTTTCTCACTTTTTACCCCGAATTTAGCTTTCTTAAGAAATACCCCCCCAAGTCATAAAAAAGGTAAAATGTAGACCAAAATACCCTCTGGGAGGAATGCGGTCCAGCAAAAAATGGGGGTGGTCCGGCACTTTGCTTCTGGAAAGCAGTGCGATATGGCACAAAATAGGGGCGGTATGGTACTAGCACAAAATAGGGGCGGTATGGAACTTTGGGCATGCGGTACAGCACAAAATGGGGGTGGTCCGGCACTTTGCTTCTGGAAAGCATGCGGTTCGGCACAAAATACTGGTGGTCCGGCACAAAATGGGGGTGGTCCGGCACTTTGGGTTTTTGGGACATGCGGTCCGACACAAAATAGGGGCGGTCTGGCACTTGGGCATGGGGTCCGGCACAAAATGGGGGCGGTCCGGCACTATGGGCATTTTTTTTGACTTGGGGGGTATTTGCTAGAAAAGGTTCAATTTGGGGTAAAAAGTTCTAGAATTTTTTTTTTTATTAGGAGTAGGTTGTCTAGAAAGTCTCATTTTGGGGTTTTTTTTGTAATTTTTCCTAAAATTTAAATCTCTAATCGACTACCCTCGTGCTCTTGTAGGGCCCAAGGCCTCCCTAGAAGCGGTCTTTGAATAATCTGATATAAATTGAATTTATAGGTTTGCTAAGTGCTTGATAGATGACTTGGGTCTTCCTTTTGGTTTAATCATGTCTATGTTGTTTTGGTTGAGTTTTATTTTATTAAGATTAATTGGTGATCCAGATTGAAGATTTGAAGCGTCTATGTAAATTGGGGAGTCGCACTCCTGGTCACCCAGAGAAGGATGTAACTGCTGGCATTGAAGTTACAACAGGTTTTTACTTTCTTTATTCCATTGATCTTCTGCTAACAGTAATTAGAGTAAATTGCAATTGGATCATCACATGAAGGACTCTTATTACTTGAGTATCTTGTGACAGGCCCCCTTGGGCAGGGAGTTGCAAATGCTGTCGGCCTGGCTCTTGCTGAAGCGCACCTGGCTGGACGTTATAATAAACCTGATGCGATCATTGTTAATCACCGGACGTGAGTTTATTCTTGGAAAACATTTACAAATGGGAAAGTACATTATAGTCCACAACTGAATGTGAAAACCCATAGTCCATTTGGTTCATGAGTTTGCTGTAGAATCTTTGATGGTAGCAGAGATGGAATAGATCAATTCCACCAATAAGGTCTTGCCCTCTTCTGGCTGTGTCTATTCTTTCTGCATTGTCCATCATGCAGTAGATAATCATGGCATCCAATGGACAATGGTTTACTATAGTCCATAGGATTACATTGTTTCCGCCTTTGTCCTTTACAAATAAATATGTACCAGCGCAAATTCTAATTTTTCTCTTTATCAATGTTATAACATGCTGCCAGTGAAGTTTTGATCCATTTCTAACTGAATACTAGAGTACTATGCTGTTCCTTCAACATGCAATCATAGCATGCGGGAATACGTACCATAGTCCAGTGAACCATGAACCATGGTATTTTATAATCTAAGCTACATCGAATGTCTGGATGGTTGATTTTAACTGTATTTGGCTGAATACCCAATTCCAGTTAATCTTCTGCCATCCATTGGTGGGCAACATTTATGTATGTTGCCAAGGACTATCACCTCTAAGCTACATCCAATGTCTGGATGGTTGATTTTAACTGTATTTGGCTGAATACCCAATTCCAGTTAATCTTCTGCCATCCATTGGTGGACAACATTTCTGTGTGTTGCCGAGGACTATCACATACCAGAACCTATTGGATTATGATGCACTATTGCAGAACATACAGAAACAATTTTACTGTCTATGTTTCATTATCCTTGGGTGAGATAAGTGACACACTAGTTCTCTCCAGGTACTGTATCATGGGTGATGGGTGCGCCATGGAAGGTATTTCAAATGAGGCAGCCTCATTGGCAGGACATTGGAAGCTCAACAAGCTCACATTGATATATGATGACAATCATAATACCATAGATGGGGACACCAGCCTTGCTTTCTCTGAGGATATATGTGGTCGGTTCAGGGCGCTTGGTTGGAACACAATTGAAGTTGACAATATACATGAAGATCTGGGATCATTCAGTCGGACACTTCTTTCTGCTTCTAAACAAATTGAGAAGCCAACATTTATGAAGGTATGAGAGCTTTAGGCAATGAAGAGTTGAAATTGTTTTGAAGGCTAAAGGAATTTGCATTTTGTTTTTTTGACATTTTGTTTTTTTTTTCCATATATAATGTAAGGAGCAAGCTTTAGTTTGAATGTAGTCATCCGAATCATAGAACAGTTGAGGTCCATGCTTTCTAATGAGTTGACATGCAGGGGAAAACTTTGATTGGGAGGTTATCTGGAAAGGAGGGAACATCTAAGGCTCATCATGGGATTTTTTCTGATGATGATGTCATGAAGATGAGAGAAAAAGTTTGTTGGAAAGATCGACATCCTTTCCATGTTATACCAATGGTCTACAAGTACAGTTCTGCCACTAAATGAATCTCTCTCTCACACACATACACATACACATACACACACAAAACACAAAGACACATACACACATCCACACATACCCACCCCACACGCACTCACACACACGTTAACTATAGTTTGTATGTGAAGCTTTATTGTCTATCACTTTCTTTGGGCAAGGATTTCAGTTCTATTTTTCGTATGTAGAAGCAGTCAGCATTGTTCGCACTGTGAAATCTAGAGGTGGAAGAAATCACGAATCAAGAAAGAGAAGAGCATAATAGAAAATGAGGAACGACTAAACCTAAAAAAGAATAAGGAAAGATGATCCCCTCATCTAGTTTGACACACTAACTGGATGAAACTTACGGAACCCCGAGTGATTTATGAATGAACAATTGCTGCGTAAAATATTTACAAATGAAAATAAAGCAGAACAATAGTTTGTTGAACTTCTTAGCCCTTTCCTTGGAACCTTATGTCGAAGGTTAGTACATGCTCTATGTTCTTCGTAATCCAATATGATTGTTCTTTCTTAAAAGAACTATCTTATTTTCCATGTATCAAACATTATTCCTTGTGGTCGAAATATGAAGTATCCTGCTTTTTTAGTTTTATACCAAGGTTTTAAAAAACGGATCAGTGACTTGGATTGGGTACCTCAAAAACTGGGTCGGATAGGTGGATCGGCGATCCAGATTGGAGAATTGGCAAGATCAGCAAGATTTGGTGTAAAGAAATTTCAAAAAATCACTAAAATTTCTCAGATATCAAGTTTTTTAAGTTTCCAAAAGAATAGTTGCATTGCATTATAGTGTTTGGTTATTTTACTGAAAATACATAAAACTAAGAACCTGCCTCATATTTGAGTATTTGTTATCCTTTACAATCATTTTATGGTCAAAATGAAGCTTAAAATTCAACTAATTACAATAAACTGAATCTCTCTAAATCAAAATGGATCTGTTTTTAAATATTAATTTTAAAAAAAACATTCACATATTTTAAAAATTATAAATTTTTGAGATGCAGTTATGTTGCCTGAATCGGTTGCCCAAGAACATTTATCTCTCTATTTATTTATTTATTTTGTTGAAGTGTTTACGGTGGAAAGGGTGTCTATTTCCTTCCCTATTTATGTTATGTCCATATGCTAGATAATCTTAGTAACCATTCATGACAAAAGGATGGCCAACAATATTTCTGAAAAAAGGATGGCCAACAATATTTCTGAAAAGAGAGAGAGATAGAGAGAGAGAGAGAGAGAAAACCATTTTTTCTATGGCGATTTAATTTAAAAAATAAATGTGATTTTATTTAAAAAAATCAAAAGTTCAAGCCCTTTGGATTTAGTCCCACATTTTAAAGAAGGTTAAAGATTCTTTGAAATAATCATATATGTAGTAAACCTCTTAAAGGGTTAAGACTTAAGATGTATCCCTTTTTGATGTAGCCCATATTTTTAACTTGTAAAAAAGATTCAAGACGTAGGTCAAGTTGCATTCCGTATCTGTCCTACATCAAAGAGTGGAGCAAGGATGTGGGGCCGCGCGGCTATAAGAAAGCCCAATAGAAGATTAACGTAGTGTCACGCATCCAAGTTGAGGGGTGGGCCACAACTTCTTTAATAAGGACTTCCAAATTATAAATTTGAGTGAAGTAAAAAAATACGGCTCTCTATTAGAGAAATAAGTTAAAGGGCGCCGTCCAAGTGTTAAGGGTGTGCGTCGGATGATAAAAATTTCACACAACAATTTGAAAGCAACCAAAAGGTGAGAGTTAGGTGGTTTGCTTGATCTGAATTGCCAGTACTCTGACAAGAACTGGTAGTTCAGAGGGGGAACCGGCTAGATCATGATATTTAGCAGGATCCAGATCAGCCAAGCCGATTCTTAATCCGGATCGGCCGGTTTTGATCTCGATCAGCCGGTTCCGATCCGGATCGAAAAAATATAAAACATTGGTTTGAACTAAATGGGTTGGAAGAAAAAATTGTTGAATTTCTCCAAATGACTAAATTTATTTACTTTAAACATTAGAAAGGGTTAGAAGAGGGTTGATTGTTTCCACACGAGAAGTTTGAAACATCAAATATCCTTTGAATGTATAACCAAGCTTATGCCAGGTCTACCCTTTGAAAGTATAACCAATTTTTTTCCTCTTAGAAAATGTGAGAACCAATCATGTTTTTTGGAATTCTTGTTATAATATCTTTCTTGGATTTGTTTAACCATTAGAGTGCTAGGTGACATGTGACTAATCATGCTCAAGGCTTCTCTTACTGGGGTTCCGTTTGAACACCTCGGTCCCTCCGCTCCTCTCTCTATTTCTCTCTTTGTATGTGTGTGTCTGTGTCTGAGAGAGAGAAAGAGAGACAGAGAGAGAGTAAAAACATTTATCTAACTCCCGTGTGTTGTTGAAACATTTGTCTAACTCTAAATGTGTGTTCTCATCTTTCTATGGTAATGCTTGTAGAGAAATGCAGAGTCATACAGAACATGGAGAAAGTATGGAAAGGGAGTGGAATGCAACACTTGAAAGATACGAACATGATTACCCAATGGAAGCAGCAGAATTCAAAATTCTTCTGACTGGTCGACTCCCTCCAAACTGGGAGTCATCCCTTCCTGTAAGTCTACGAGGTTTTTCACATGCATCCATAGGGGAGCCATATGGGCAGCTTTTTTGTTATATATGAAAAGACATGATCAGAGAATCCATCATGGGAACTTTATAATTGTATTTTCTAATGATATTTGATTGAGAAATTATGCTATGAGAACCAGTCTACGATTAAATTTGTACTATCCGATCACCATTTTGGTGGTGATAATCTGCAGTTCTGCTTGACAGACTTGGGGACTGCTGAATGGAGCATTATGAATAGCTATGGACCATCATAACTGTATGGTATGGTCATCTGACGGCAGTGACCATTGTCCTTCCTGGATTGTGCAGGACCGGGTTCAGTAGGCCCATTCCTTATGAAAAATTAGGTAAACTTATGTAAATAATGAAAAATAAATTTATGTTTATTTAAAAGTTCTTAATAAAGTATGTCTAAAAAATGAATAATTAAGTAAGATCTCTGCTGCTTCCCGAAACTTTTGAGAAGTATAACAATACTCCAAATTCATGCAAACTAAATATAGGTTGTTTAAAAGTTCTTAATAACAGTACTTCTAAAATATGATTAAATAAGTAAGATCTCTGCTGCTTCCCAAAACTTTTGAAAAGCATATTGCAATACTCCAAAGTCATGCAGCAGAGATTAACCCTTAAGTCTCCCATCTGGAAGTTAACTGAAATACACTTATTCCACCATTTGTGATGAATTAGATGGTCAAGGCAAGTTCCAAGTGCCATATTATGCAATACCTCCTGAATTTTAGATTGCTAACCACCCACATTTGACCGGCAGAAATGGTCAGAATCTGAACCTGTCGATGCCACTCGTGGGTACTCAGAGAAATGCCTGAACCACCTCGCAAAAGTGATCCCGGGCCTAATTGGCGGGAGCGCTGACCTTGCAAGCTCCAATAAAGCATATCTCCATGGCTTTGACGACTTCAAGCAACCTGCTTCCCCATGGGGCCACAACATCTGCTACGGCGTCCGTGAACATGCTATGGCGGCTATCTCCAATGGCCTTGCGCTCCACCAAAGTGGCCTAATCCCCTTTGCTGCCACCTTCCTCGTTTTCTCTGACTACATGAAGGGTGCTATTCGGCTCTCTGCCTTGAGTGGAGCCCATGTTCTTTATATCTTGACTCATGATTCAATAGGGTTGGGTGAGGATGGGCCCACACACCAGCCTGTCGAGCACCTCGCAGGCCTCAGAGCGATTCCCCAACTATTGGTGTTCCGTCCTGCAGATGCTAATGAGACATCAGGAGCATATAAGGCTGCCATGGAGTACCAAACTGGTCCATGCGTTATCTCGCTTTCAAGGCAAAAGGTGTCAGCAAACTTGTTGTGGTCGTGTATGGAGAAAGTGAGCAAGGGGTGGTACATAGTGAGCGACAATTCAGCGGTGGACATGCCTGAGATAATATTGGTCGGGACGGGGCCAGAGTTGAGTTTGTGTGAAGAGAGTGCAGAGAGGTTGAGGAAGGAGGGAAGGAGAGTGAGGGTGGTTTCACTTGTTTGTTGGCGATTGTTCAATGAGCAGTTGAGGGAGTATAGGGAATCGGTGCTGCCAAGTTCTGTACGGAAGCGGATGAGTGGGGAGGCAGGGTCTCCACTTGGGTGGAGGGAGTATGTAGGAGGAGAAGGGGTGGTGCATGGAGTGTGTGGGTTTGGTGCAAGTGGTACTTATTTGGATACTTTCACTAAGTTTGGGTTCACACTGGATAAGGTTACTAGGATAGCAAGGTCTTTGTTGGGGTGAGGTAATCTTTTCTTGTTCTTACTGCATTTTACTTGCATATATATGCTCTACTTGCATTTATGCTCGTCAAGAGAATCTTACTTGCGTACATGCTCCATGGAGTGAAGTATCATTTTCTTGCTCTTGGTACATTTTACTTGCGCACATATGCTACATGAGATCCCATCTTAGTTGGCCCAGATTGTCACATAGTGAGCAAAATATGGACATTTTTCCGCTCCCAGAGTCATGCCGAGCCTGTAAATAACTGAGTCAAGCATCGACTTCAGCTTCTCTGAAATATCATATAATATATTGTATTACATTCTCACATTGATATTGATTTATTTATTTTTTTCCTTGTTCCTGAGCTTGTGCTTCACGGCTTAGTTCGACTTGATATGCTCACAATAATATTACTTTGATTTCTTGTTTATGAGGTGCTGCTTTATCGCCTAGGTCAACTTATCAATATTCCCCAATTGTATGTATGACTGTTGTTTATAGAAGTTCTCCCAACAGGGCTTCTACGCATAGGACTTCTGCCATGAACTTGTATTAAAGGCGAATGGGATAATTTGAGATGGCCATATGAATCTAATAGCCCACATGGACTCACTCCATGTATGCGATGTTTCAATGTATTCATTATCTCAAATGAATTACTGATACTCCTATTGTGGTAGCACAATTTACCTGGTCAAACAAAGCTCGCAGAACCCAATAATGTCGAACTTAGATAGGTTTTTAACAAATAGTGGGTGGTAGGAAGCTTTTCCCAAGACAATGGCTAATGCCCTTACAACGCTATTTTCAGATCATATGCCTCTGATCCTAGAAACAGCGGACAGAAACTTTGGGGCAGCTCCTCATATTTCAAAGGTGATGGTTAGCAGAGAGGGGTATCAGTGAATTAGTGAAGCAAACTTGGTCCTCTTTCGTGATTTTCGGATGGCATGGGCTTAGGATATTGAGAAAGTTTCAATTACTAAAAAGCTTCAGCAATGATAAAGGGATGATGTGAGAGAGTGGATTAACTATCCTTTGGCTTGAAATCAGGAAATAGACAGGATTGCCCGCGCCAAAATGGTTTCGATTATTTGTTGATACAATATGGAAGAAATATTTTTGGGACAAATATCGATAATAAACTTGTGGTAAGAGAATCAAAAGTCTAAACACTAAGTTCTTGCACTCCATAGAAAATTCCAGTAGCAGAAGTTTTAGTGTACAAAAATACAGGGAGTTGATGAGGGTTAAAGAGAGGCAATCAAATGGCCATGGTACATTTTTACCAAAGAACCTCTGCAGAGCATAGGCCGAGAATTAGCATAAGTGGAGTTCTTTTAAGTGTATCTAGTTAAAGTGTAGGTGGCTTGAAAGATCATTTACTCAAGAAGAAAGCAAGGGGATTCTTTTCAGGCGAACGAGAGATAGAATCATAGGCTAAATGATTTTTGTTTGAAATTCTTACAACATTACAGGAAAGTAGTGAAACATGGTATTTCCCTCATGGTTGAGGAGTTCCATCATAGAGGTATAGCGATTAGTGCAAAAACGTCCACTTTCTTGGCAGTAATACCAAAGTAAAATACTATTGGAAGCAAAATATGAGGCCAATAGCTTGTTGACTAGCCTCTACAAAATAGTAGCAAAGATTTCGGCCATGAGGTTGAAGTATTGCAAATGGTGATCTCTGAGCACCAATCTGCCTTTATCTGGGGGAGGCAGAACACAGAGAGTCTTTAAATAGCACGAGAATGCATCTATTCAAGGAAACTGGAGAGAAACAAGGGTTGATATGTGTATAGAAAAAGCCGATGACAGCGTAGATTGGGAGCTACTTGTGAGAATAATGGGAAGCATGGGGTTTGGAGCAAGATAGAGTATGGATTATGGGTTGTATCTCTTTTGCCCATTTCTCCATATTGATAAATGGAGAAGCCACTACTTTCTTTAAACCCACTAGGGTTTTGAGAGAAGGGTACTCTATCTCACCTTTTGGTTCGCGTTTGTGCCAGAAACCTTCATTTCAGTGTTCAAAAAATCGACTCAGCTAAAGTACTTGGGACTTGGCCGAGCCGATTTACTCGGGTGCGTCTGAGTAACTTGTTCAGACTCACTCGCCCGAGTAGACTTTGAGTTTAAAAAATAAAAAAATAACACATAAATTAATGTATATATAAAAATATTCTTTGAATGGTGTACTGGTTGGGTACATGATCTTTGGGGTACTTGTTCATAACACATCGTGGGTTCCAATCCTAGTTTTCATCTCAAGTTCTTTTTTTGTTAAAAAAAAAAAAGATAGTACAACAATAGATATATTATAGCTGTTCCTTTTTTTTTAATAAAATGTTTTACGACGTGCTGGGTAGGGCATCCGCTCTTATTCTTAGAGGTCATAGGTTCAAATCTTCTCCTCAAACCCTTCTTCTTTTTTTTTTTACTCATGTTTTCTTAAAGAAAAAAAAAAAGGAAACAAAAAACCAATTGTTATAGAGGGATTCGAATCCTCTCCGTAGTGAACAATAAACGTGCATACTACCCAGCGAACTACTCGAGCATTAGCTGTTGAAGTTGGGATATTATTATATATAAATATTATAAATGCGTGTACAGTATACTTGAGGCAAATTCGCCTCACTCAAAGGGCGAGACCGAGTTACTCAGCCGATTCCGAGTACACATGTCCGAGTCTCGAAACTGATTCATTTTGATGCTAAAATCAGTGGAGCAAGCAAGGTTGATGTCTGGTTTTAAACCTTCATAGAAGCTGGCCAACTATTTCATATATACAATATGCTGGTTGATACCCTAGTATTAGGTGATGCAAGAGTGGTTGAAATCAGGAATTTAAAGTGCTATGGAGTGGAAACTGGTCTATGCAAAAGACAATATTATTGGATTAGGGCTGATCTAATGGGAGGTAAAAGGAGGTATGGGGGGAAAGCATAGCTGATCTAATGGGACATGAAAAGGACGCTCTCCCAATAAAGTACTTGGACTCCCCTTGACAGAGGGTTGATTGCCAAGGTCGAGCGGGTTGATTGCCAAGGTCGATATGGTTCCTAGAAATTAAAAGATTTAACACCTAATAAGACATATGGAAGGCTAACTACGTTATCATTGGGAGGTAAACTCACCTTGATAAAGTCCACCTTGTTGAACAATGGCAATTTGTTAGGGGAATGAGGTGGAAGTTAGGGGAATCAAGAGAATACCTAAAATATCACTTATTTCGGAAAAGGTGTCTACACAGGTATGGGGATTCGTAGATTCAGAATGATGAGCATTGCTTTATTGACAAAATGCTGGTGGAGAAATTTGCAAGAGGGCAAAAATTTATGGGTGACTGTCGAGGAGAATAAAAATGGGAAAGGTAAGGAGAAATCATTAATTGGTGGGAGAAATAGCTACTTATGAATGTATCGAGGAATACAGAGAATTGCATAGCAGTGTTCATTAATAATGTAAGTTAAGGGGAACACTATTATTTTTGGCATGGAGATATGTTATTTAAGGTATGTTTCCCGAAGGTTTTCATAGGATCTACAATACCAATAGAAATAAAGTGACTTGGTCGCAAGTGAAGACCAGAATACTTGTGGACATGGTTATGAGACTCCGGCCTTGTATGCTCGGACTCGGCCGAGTAACCCTGCCTCACCCTATGGGTGAGGCGAGTTTGCTCTCAGTACATTGTATGCACATTTTTAATGTTTATACCTAATAATGTGTCAACTTTATTATCCAGCACACATGTTTATTGGTCATTAGGGTGATCTCTCTATATGACCATTCCGTTTTTGTTTCATTTTTTTTTCTTTACAAGAAAACATGAGTAAAAACAGGCTTTGAGCATTTGAACGTACGATCTGTAAGAATAAGAGTGCACTCCCTACCTAACACACTACAAACATTTTATTACAAAAGTGGAACACTAAATATATATTTATTATTATGCTATTTTTTTTTTTTTAAAAAAGAAGAACTTGAGATGAAAAGGAGGATCGGAACCCAATATGTATTGCGGATAAGTAAATACTAAGAACAGTGAACCGAACCACTGCACCATTCAACACTCTGTGTTATACATATGAAGGATATATTATATATACATTAACTTATGTGTTGATTATTATTATTTTAAAATCAAATTATACTCGAGCTAGTTACTCGGACTCACGCGAGTAACTCGGCTCGGCCAGGTGCCGAATACCTTGGCGGAGTCGAATTTTTTGTCACTGCTTGTGGAATACCTTCTGTAGATACAACAGGTAGCCAGATCATGCTGTAGGCCCAGTGTACTAGAGACCACAAAAGAAGCATTTGGGAAGCAACTCCAGACGGTGACTTCTCAAAAAGATCACTTCATCAAATTCCCTCTTTACAGAAGATGGCATAGGGTTACATATAATAGTAGTTCTAGGATTTTGATGGGGCTTTGCATAGGGAGGCAATCCAGCTATAGGACAAGATGGCCACATATACATACACTTTGACATGGTGAATTTGGCATGTGAAAGGTTTGTGGCTTTTAATCATGAAAGCTTGAGATCCTTGTTTTAGTGGCAATGACATGAGAAGTTTGACCTTATTGTTGGGGTGGATGAAGAAGGGTTGCACTGTTATATTCATGTATCAAAGTTTACAAGGTGATGACAGAGAGATGAGTTCGGTGGTGACAACAAAAAACCTTTCTAAATGAAAATTAGGATCCATAGGGCATCATAAACATAAGATTAGGAGACATTCAGAGGGATCTCTTCGGAATGGTTCTCGCAAGGGCCATAGCATCCATTTTGTTAAATAGGAAGACTTCCCTTAGCCGAAATGTGGGATGGTGGTTATTTTGTGGCTTATCAGAGTGTCTGAATGAAAGAATTGTTGGATAAATGGTTGTGGAGCACCTTCTACAAATTAATATGTTTGGGAAAGGAATTTTGGGACTTTGTTTGGCATGTTGAATTGGTGATAGTACTCTTAGGGCCGCCTTCTGTGATCTCCTCAGGATTGCTGGCAACCCTAGACCCTAAATTAAGTGTGGACTTTTATGAGAGGACAACAGGTAGCCTGTGCTGGTACCCCTGTTTTAGAAGAGTTCTCGAGGATAAATGTGTTCTAAGATATACTGGCTCCTATGACATTATTAGTAGAGGTATATATTCCTGTAAGTGAGTTAAGGATATGTATCCTGTGTCATGGAGAGTGTTCTCAACTGGGTCATTGTACAAAGCTCTCGGATGAGATTCTAGACTTCCGGCCCCTTGTCCACTGGTCTGGAGTATTTAATCCTGATTTGGATAGAAGGATATGTCCCATGCTTGCTTGAAAGGCATGGAAGAGGGTCGTAGATTAAA